ACTTGGCTCAAATTAGCTCAGTTATATTACCAGAATGAGCCTATACAAAGGACTTGGCTCAAGTTAGCCCAGTTGCATTACCAGAATGAGCCTATACAAAGGACTTGGCTCAAATTAGCTCCGTTATATTACCAGAATGAGCCTATACAAAGGACTTGGCTCAAATTAGCTCAGTTACATTACCAGAATGAGCCTATACAAAGGACTTGGCTCAAATTAGCTCAGTTATATTACCAGAATGAACCTATACGAAGGACTTGGCTCAAGTTAGCTCAGTTATATTACCAGAATGAACCTATACGAAGGACTTGGCTCAAGTTAGATTATTTTGTTGGCATTCCTTTAAAATTGGGAGAAGTAGGAACGAATACAGTGTATTTATTAAGAGCTAAGGGGTATAATGAGAAATATGTGGTTTATTGTAGTATTATCGAATCCTATAAGTTTTCTGGCAATAAAATTATTTAAAAGTACTTTTACTCTCCAGATAATGATAAAAAAATTTTCTTTTCAGCTAACGTTTCGCCATTGCCGCTTCATCATGGTTAGTAGTACAAGCCCTGATGAAGCTCCAATGGTGAAAAGTTAGCTGAAATATAAGGTTTTTATCATTAACTGGAGAATAGAGGTCGCTGTATTTTTTTCTAACTTTATTGTCAAGAATGTCTAAATTCCTCCGGTATGCACTGCAAATAATAAAATATTTCATTGTTTTTTCTGTTTGTTTCTTAATTATGCACAAAGCTACACAAGGGCTATCTGTGCTCTGCCCACCACGGGTATCGAAACCCGGTTTCTAGCGTTGTAAGTCCGCAGACATACCGCTGTACCACTGGGGGGCGAAATATTTCATATAAGCTTTGTTATTACATAAAATAAATCAGTGACATTATATCGAGTCATGTACCGGGTAATCACTAGCTAAACACTAATTATATCGAGTCATGTACCGGGTAATCACTAGCTAAACACTAACTTGTAATTAAAAAAGAAGGATTTCGTTTCTGTCGAACTGTTTGAAATTACTGTAACAAAAAAAAAAACAGCTATTATTTACAAACATATGTTACATATATTATTTCAACACAGTAATAAAAATGCTTAATTATTGTTGTTTTTTTGAATTTTTACCAAAACCGTCGTTATACACAAAGTATTCCCATATGTTTTTATGACCCACTGCTAATCTGAGAGAGGCATATTGGTGTGCCCCTTGTCCACCCGTTCTTCTGTCTGTACCGATCTTCTGCAGAGGATATCTCAAGATTAGGGGGATTGATTTTAACCAGACTTTTACAACAGATGCTGCGTAGAAGTTCTAGACCCGGCTAACTTTTGAAGGTCAAGATCAAAGAGGGGACATCGGTGTTTCGTAAACACAATTTGCACATGTTTTTCGCCTTTGCACACTTCATTTTTCTCTGTGTTTAAACGTATGTGAACGAATGAAATTTGAAGAAGTAGAAGCAATTCTTATTAAACCAGTGGTAAGTCTACGAACTTACAATGCTAAAATTCAGGGTTCGATAGCAGATAGATAGCCCAATGTAGCTTAGGGTCTGGCCCGGCATGGCCAGGTGGTTAGGGAGCTCGACTCACAATCTACGGGTCGCGGGTTCGAATCCCCGTCCCACCAAACATGCTCGTCCTTTCAGCCGTGGGGACGTTATAATGTTACG